GTGAAAAGGCGAGCGAAGTTTTAATTTCAGTTCTATAACAAATATACGCTCTCGGTGAGTCTTTTCAAGTCCGTTCAGTTTGGACATTTGTACCGTAAATTGCACAACAGAAACTTCAATGAGAAAAGGAGGCCGCATTAAATCCCCTTGTGTCTCGTTGGAGTATATCATCCGAATTTAGTTTTTGTGGAGGAAAGACCAGATTTCACTCGCCATTGCAGCAAACAAACGAGCAAACTCTCACAGCTTCAAAACAAAAAATTTAAATGTACTTACAATTTCTTTCCTCACCGGTTACTCAATGAACAGAGGTAAATCTTCGTACATGAATTAATCGTCGACGACAGTGAATAATACTTTCCGTAACATCATTGACTGTTTTTGAAGAAAACAATGTGCTGACAGTCCTTGCCAAACTAGTTTCGTTGTTTTTCAAATGTTCTTACGCTTTTTTTTAATTACGCGCTCTCTAATTGACAGGTGTCAGATTGTGACAGATACTTGTAAAAATAATGTTTCAAAGTTTGTTTGGAAGTCTTTTAAATTATCGTTACGGAAATGAAAATGTTTCGCCGAGGCATCTCTCTTGAATTTGCATCACCTCTATTTTAACTACCATTTACTGGCTCAAAAACTGTTCAGTTTATGGAAGATCTTGCCGTATTTACAGCCCTAAATCATTCGGGTTCTTTCGGAAAGAATTTCGTCAAGTTTCAAAAAATAAATATTTTATTTACCGGCTAAGGGTCGGTCCGTATGGTGAAAAACTGTGACCTCGGTCTTGAAAATGCTGCCCTCGGCCTACGGCCTCGGGCAGTATTTTCAAGACCTCGGTTACAGTTTTTCACCATGCGGACCTCCCAGCCAGCAAATAACATATATATATCATGATCCGCTCTCAACTCAGAGGAATAATTAACTTTGATTGCATTCGACTCAAGGATAGATAGGATGCCTTGCAGAAACGAAGCTGACGCACTCTGTACCCTTTCCACGGAGACAGGAGGGTTGCTGTATAAGGTCCTATAAAATTATTAATTAAAAGAAAGCATAAGCTTTGTGTGGAACCCAGGCCTGGTGTGGACCCAAGCTGCGTGCACGGATGATTATCTCTAGCACTTCCCGAAAACAAACTTAATCTCGTACCTGATAAGTTGCTCACTCAAATGAGCTGAAGGTTCTCGTGTGCTGGTCCATGGAGGCCAATTCTTCCATTTCACGAGATATTCAAAGTCCTGAAATTATTAAAAATAAATTCAGTTTGTACTCTACTGTGTATGAACAATTCATACCTCCTTCTTCGATCTTCTCCGGCCAATCAATCTCTCGACCAAATAAACTTTAGATCCACTTTTCTATTTTTTTTGCTTTAAAATGTGCTTCGAAATCTACGGTGGAAAGAGTATTTAAAGCCTTGTAATCGACCAGATGCCCCTTTCGCAGACACCGAGCCATGTTGACAGGAAACATGAAATCTGACCACAAAGTGCATGCGTAGTAATAGTACTTGACGAAACCACAGACCGAATTCACCGCGGGAGTAAAATCTCCCTGAGTTATTCGACGACGGTCGAAATTTGAGTGTGGAGCCTTGACTTCGTCTCCTGACAGGAATAACAGTGATGGCAAAGAAAGCTTAAAGCGGCAAAGAACGTCGGAAACTACAACGGTCACATAAGATGTAAGTAATGCTTGGAACGCCTTTGTTCACACGAATCTGCACTCGAACTATCGTAAGAATCCTTGCATCGAATGTCAGACAATTCGCCCCGGACAATTAGCCCCCAATTTCTGGACAATTTGCCCCCATTGTGAAAACACCGAAATTAATGTAGACAGTATAGTTTTTGTCACAAAGCAATTATTTCTTGAAGGAAAAAGAAAGCTCGACTA